GCGTGTGTTCATGTGGTGGACACCCAGCCCCGTTGCCCATACAAGTTGCACCGGGATCCAGAACCCACCACTACTATGCCCACAAGTGAGGCATGACTCTTGGTCACGTGCAGAATCAGATTGCCACAATATCTTCCTCTGCTGGAGATTTAAAAAGATACTTGATTTTCATCCCAATACAATCTTGCAACTTTTGGTGTTTACGGTTTCATAATAAAATGACGTCAGAATTAGAACAGCATACAATTCAAATCATAAAAACAAAAACTGAAGTAGAAGAGAAAACCACAAAGAGTGCAAATGAAGGGTTCTTGGAAAAAGCTCGGTTTTTAATAATTTCCAGTGGGGAGCCCTTTTTGAGGTTTTGTGCTGCTTTGGAGAAGTGGTGCCCTCTAGCTTCGTGGAGGTGTAAATCAATACACGGCGTCCTCTTTACATGGTCAAAGAGGCTGGTTTGAATCCAATTGAAAGGAGGTCATCTGTAGGTATCCAGGTGCCAAATCTTGAAGGCCTTTATAGATCATAGATTTCTAAGAACGTGAGGTCTAGTACTGCCTTAAGCACAAAGCCAGCGGGTGACCTTGGGCCAGTCACTTTCTCTTAACTTTAGGAAACTTATAAAGCCCTTCATGGTATTGGACCTGGGTACTTGAGAGACCGCCTGCTGCCAATTATCTCCCAAAGACCCATCAGATCCCACAGANAAAAAAGATGCAAAGACTAGAAAGACCCAGAGAAGAGCAACAAAGATGATTAGGGGACTGGAGACTAAAACATATGAAAAACGGTTGCAGGAACTGGGTATGTCTAGTTTAATGAAAAGAAGGACTAGGGGAGACATGATAGTAGTGTTCCAATATCTCAGGGGCTGCCACAAAGAAGAGGGAGTTAAACTATTCTCCAAAGCACCTGAGGGCAGGACAAGAAGCAATGGGTGGAAACTAATCAAGGAGAGAAGCAACTCTGAACTAAGGAGAAATTTCCTGCAGAACAATTAATCAATGGAACACTTGCTTCTAGAAGTTGTGAATGCTCCAACACTGGAAGTCTTTAAGAAGATGTTGGATAGCCATTTGTCTGAAACGATATAGGGTTTTCTGCCTAAGCAGGGGTTTGGACTAGAAGACCTCCAAGGTCCCTTCCAACTCTGCTATTGTATTCTATTCTATTCTAAATTAACTTGCAGAGATGAGACCACTTACCGAAGATAGTAAGAAGATTTTTACAGCAAATAGAATAGCAAATTGTTTGTAATTGTTCAAACAGGAGTCTATCAATGCATTACTGAGTAGTAAGTGTTGGTTAAAAACCAGAACAAGGCAACCTGAATTCTAGTCCTATCTTGGGCATGGAAGTCAGCTGGAATACTTAGAGCTAAGTAGTCCCTCCTTCTCAACCCTAAGAAGACAGTGGCAAATTACTTCTGAAAATGTTGTCAAGAAGTCTGCATGGACTTTCCCAGTAGTCTGATTCAAAAACATATTGCCTTGCTTCATATTCACATAACACACATTACATATGCTGTGCTATTGTCTCAGTCTCACTGAATGATTAGGAACTCTCTGTGTTCAGATCTTAGATCCCTCTTCTGGCCACAAGAGAATATGTCTCATTGGCTACAATTGAATTCCTGCCTAAATTTATCATTAGATATATTATTGATATATGTAAATCTTAGATTCATTCAGTGAACTATGATGGATTATGGAACATCTGCCTGTACAATAGAAGGAAAAATTGTTGGTTCATAGCACTGGTATATAAAGATGAAATTGTTGCCAAGTATATGTGAGAAGATATGCTCGCTCAAAACTTACAGTTGTTATTTCATTTCCAATTATGTGAAACCTTTCCATTTTGCAATTTTAATCTAGAGCTAGAAATTTACTAATTATTTCACGCTTGAGAAATGACATTACTTATTATTTGTTGATGACAATAAGGGGAGAAGAGGTATCTGCCACCTCCCAGGAAGTAATTCTTTAACCAGTGGTTCTCAACCTGTGGTCAGCGGATTCCTGGGGGGGGGGCTCAGTGTCACGGGGTCTGCGAAGGCTTGAAGAAATGTTATGATTTAAATCTTGAGTTAAGTGTTGGGGGGGTCCGTGGCCATGGTGTATAGCCACAAAAAGTATTTAAACCTGGTCAGTGGTGGAGTAGAGGTTGAAAATTACAGTTTTAGAGATCCGAGTTAGTTATCCCATAAAAGATAGTTTTGACCTAATCAGGTTCCAGATTACAGACATAAATCAAAAACCCTGATTACCGGGTACACAGATTTTCGATTCAACCTTTTCTAGAATCCACTACAGTAGCTAGTTTATTTTTATGCAAAGTTATTACTGGAGCTATTGCTACTGTATGTTGTATACACAAATATTTCTATTTTGTCTTTCAACAGTTGCTTCTGTAGATACTTATATAAAACACCTTCAATTCCAGACTTGGTGACATGTACGTAGTTTTCTTGGCAACAACACAGAAATGGTTTGCCTGTATCTTCTAGGACAAGGGGGGTCAAACTCATTGTGTCACGTGAGGTTTCATGACGTTTTCCCCATTCATGGAACTGGGGTGGGCATGGCCTGCATGTGATGCATCCTGCCTCCGTGTCACCAGTTTGACACCCCTGTTCTAGGAGATTCAGCAAATTGTTTAAAACAAATGCATTCCATAAGATTATAATGGAATTATGAGAGGATGTTCATTATCTGCTAATTTGTTACATGTATGTATGTATATGTATATACTGTATTTTCATCCATCTCTTAGAGACTTAGACCTAGTAAGAAGGCGGCAACAGCAAACCACTTCCTAAAATATTGCAAAGAATACCGCAGGGATTTGTCCAAGCACGCACCAGAAGACAAAACTTGACAGCAAACAAGGAACAAAACCCACATTTAATATAAATTATTTTATTTGGTAACATGATTCTCTGTGTGTCTCTGCCTCTGTCACTACATACATGCATGCATGCATAAATACACCATATTTTTCGGAGTATAAGACGCACCTTTTCCCCTCAAAAAAGAGGGTGAAAATCTGGGTGCATCTTATACACTGAATACAGCATTTTTGGCCTAGTGAAACTCCGCCCCCTTTGCAAAAATGGACGTGCAGAGGGTTTGGAAGGCTTGCAAAGTGCTCCTGAGGGTTGGGGAGGGCAAAAAAAAAAAGAAGAAGCAAAAAATGGGCTGTTTTGCCCCTCCAGCCCCTAGGGGCACTCTACAAACCTCCCAAAGCTCTGCATGCCCCCCCTTTTTTTGTGTGCAAAAAATTAGGCATGCAGAGGGTTTGGGAGGCCCGCAGAATGCAAAAACATTTTTTAAAAATTTACCTCTTCAAAATCATGGTGCGCCTTATAGTCTGAAAAGCTACCCAGCTGCCTTTATGCTTACAGCAGAATTAGAACTCCTGGTTTCTACCATGATGCACCAAACAGCTGTCTATATTAAAATCTGTTATATTAAAACAATTTTCTAGTTTTTAATCACCTGCTAAAATATTTATGCAATTAAAAAAATAGACACTTACATTTTCAAAGCCCTAAGGTAAAGACATTGTTTTTAGTAAATACAAGTAACTTTTAGATTTAAATAATCGTAGTGCATCCTCTTTCTATATCATCAATAGCAGTAGACTTATATACCGCTTCATAGGCCTTTCAGGCCTCTCTAAGCGGTTTACAGAGAGTCAGCATATTGCCCCCAACAATCTGGGTCCTCNCCCTGAGTCCCTCCGGGAATAGGGCGGCATATAAATGAAATAAACCTATAAACCTATAGGAAAGAGGCAATGGCAAACCATTTCTGAAAATCTTGTGAAGAAAACTGCAAGGATTTATTCAGTTTCTGATAATCAAGACATGATTGAATGGAAGAAAAAAGATATAATAAAATACAAGTACATCTCTTTCCTTGAATCTTCATGATTTTTGTTAGAAGGAATATTTCTCAGTCTGTAATGACATCATTGTCATTTGGAATTGAGGAAAAATCCTCTTGCTCAGGGCTGAAATCAATTTACCTTTGCTACCAGTTCACAAATGTGAGCACATGCTAGTTGTCCACCTAGTTGTCAACTTCCTTTACATGCGCAGGACATTCCGCGGATGCACAGAGTATCAAAAACGGGATGTGACGATGTTTGGGTGGGTGGGCAGAGCTTCTTGGCGCCGCTGCTACCGGTTTACCTGAACCAGATAGAACCGGTCGAATTTTACCCCTACTCTTGCTACTTGTCAGAGCTGTGAAGTGAGAACTTGGCCTCTCAACTGACTTCTTCATTACAGGATATATCTTAGAGAAACTCAAGAATTTTCCCATCCCTGCTAGTTTTCCAAAGTACAATAGAAACGTTACCACAGAAATGGCTCTAACATTCACCAACAAGTTGTAATCCACAAGTTTGGACCAACTCCTATTATCCCTGAGGAAAAAAACCATACTGCCTGAGACTCATCCAAAATATTTGATTGGTTGTCAACAGGTTTTGTGGTTGCCAACAACAATTTTTTAAAATCATGTAACATTTTAACTACCAGTGACTTCGACTGAGCATCTCTACATTGGTAGTGCAAATTATTGAATTAAAAAGGAGAATTATTCAATTCTCTGAATGGAAAGCACAGCCTTGAGGAAGGACAAACGAATTTCTTATGGTAATTGGGGATACTCAAGGTTTTTAGATCTTTTTCCTCACTAAATAAATGAACAAGTATAATATTTTTGACCAATTTTATTGGGTTATTTTCATCTAGTTTTAGGCTTACATGGAGAATAGATCATGTTTCATTTACCGGTATTTTATTACTTTACTGTATTACTGTATTATTGTATTGGGCATCTTGTCTTTTTATTTCCTGGGCTTTTAAAATATGTGGCTGATTGCAAGTGTAGTTATATATAGTTATATTGTAATTACATTTCTAGAATATTTTCTAGAAAAACTGATATTCATATCTTATTTGAATAACGTTTTTTGTTTTGTTTTCTCAGGTTTCTGCACTATAAGTGCCTTATGTAGTCATTGTACAGCGACAACTTTGTTGTTCTCATGATATCTCTCACGGCTAGATATTGGCTTTAACCTTATAAATCAACTATAGCAGCTGCTTCTTGTATATCTGATTCCAGCGTTTACAAAACGTGAGAAAAAAAATATTGAACTAAACAAGAAGACTGCTGAATCTGTAGCTTTTCCTACCTAATTAACACCAACAAAGAGGATACTACAGCCTAAAATGTATAAAAGAATGCCATTGTATGAAAACAAAGTTTTTTCCCCAGTAGCATGAACTTTTACCAGAAATGCTACTGAGCATGATTTTTTTGCAGACAAAAGTGTACAAATGGCATATATTGGATGATAACTACAATGTTCACTGATAATAGCTGCTTTGTACATCATCTTTGTATGCATTGGATTTTCCTGAGCTACGCCTGATTTTATTGAAAGGAACTTCTTGGCTTTCTGGAGTTTTTAAAACAGAGGCTAGTTCATTAACAACTCACAAAATCGAAAGCAGCTTTACATCATGGCTTCAATTGTTGCTCCAGTGAGAGACACAAAATGGCTGACACTAGAAGTGTGCAGGCAGTTTCAGAGAGGGACTTGTTCACGTTCTGATGAGGAATGTAAATTTGCACATCCATCCAAAAGCTGCCAAGTTGAAAGTGGAAGAGTGATTGCCTGCTTTGATTCCCTAAAGGTAAGATATGCATGCATTAGAAGGATGTATTGTAAACCTATCCATGTAGTGAGATCTGGTTCTGGTCCCTGAATGGGTTACATCCAGTCAGTTTTCTCAACAATGGTATGGAACTGGTTTGCTTTTATTTTTTTCCAAGGTGTTTCGTAGCTTCCTGGACTAGGAATTCCTTGTTGCTATCCCATCTCATCTCCAACACAGCCAGGCTCAGTTTAGTTTCCAAATCTAAATTGGAAGATTTCTTCCAAGTGGAAGATCCAACAAGTTCCTAAAAATCCTAGCAGACATCTTTGTTTCCCAAAGAGTAGAGAAGGGAACAAGGGGATTAGCTATATTGGACTTAATTCTCACTAACAGAGATGAAATGATAGAAGGTGTGAAGCTACAGTATCCCTGAGGGCAAGTGATCATGCAATATTGGATTGCAACATTATGCAAGCACAATCAGTAGAACAAAGTCAAACTAGAGTGTTGAACTTTAAGAGAGCTAATTTCAATGAACGTAAAGCTTGGGAAGGATTCCATGGATGAGAATACTCAAGGGGAAAACAACTCAAGAAGCTTGGGAAATTTTGAAACGTGAGATTATAAAAGCCCAGTCTAGCGCAATACCAATGAAGAAGAAAAATAACAGCTCTCAAAAAAAAAAAACCCAGCATCGCTGCATAAAGAACTCTTTGACAAATTGGAAGACAAAAAGGGCAAGTATAAAAAATGGAAAGAGGGGCACATTAACAAAGGCAGAATCTCAGCAAATAGCCCAAGCCTGTAAAGATGAAGTGAGGAGATGTAAGGCTCACAATGAACAAAGGCTTGCAACAAAAGTAAAATATAACAAACAAACAAAAAAAAAAGCTTCTTCCAACATGTTAAAAACAAGAAAAAATCAAGGAAACAATTGCTGGGAGAAAGTGGCAAGAAGGTAACAAGCAACAGGGAGAAAGCAGAACTACTTAACTCGTTTTTTTATCTGTCTTTACACAAAGGGAAAAAACAGTCCAACCTATCAAAAACAGCACCACAAAAATCAGATTAAGAACACAAATTGAAGTAGGGAAGAAAATGGTAAGTGAGCACCTGTCTTCTTAGGGTTGAGAAGGAGGGA